TGGACCCCTGCAAAGCGTGAGGAGGTACATGGGGCTGACCTTGGATCTCCACACCTTTGTGTGTGTGTTGATAGGCCTGCAGCTGAGTCTGGTGCATTGCAGCCGCAGCATGCTGCTCCCACTCGAGCCCCCTCCCCTGAGCTTGGGCCTGGGTGGCATCTCTATATGCCTCAACTGGCCCTGGCAGTTGATTTTCTGCCCCCATCGGCAGAGCTACACCCTCATGGACTCCTTTGTGGAACACCATCTGACCCCTGACATTCACTCCACTCACATAGGGGCCAAAGTTCTGGCCCCAGGCTGGCACAGGAGCTTCCTGAGACCAGCCGGGGGCCTGTATGGAGTCCTGGTGCATCCACTTTACTGGAGCAGCCTGTTGATAGTGCGGTAGACTTTGGGGCCCTTTCTCGGGGTTGTAAACACCAGAGCTGCTAGCAGAGTCACTGTGGCTTGACTCTAAAGCCGGAGGTCCCATACCATAATAAACCTCACCTGAGTGCTGCACAGGCTCCTTCATGGCTGCAGCCCGATGCTTACCACTCTTGTCAGTATTAACTTGAGGAGGAAGACTCATAGTAATATTATATTATACAAAAATGTTGGAGTCAGAGCTCTCAATCTTGATCTGTGAGTATGCAAACAGCTCAGTTATTGCCTCTGTAGTGTGCTTTCAATGCCTGGGGCTGAGGAATTCTCTGTTTAATTGTGTATACGGAGGTATTTGGGAGGAAATGTAAATCCCAAAGGAAAGTGCAGGGTGGGGAGAAAGCAACCCTCCTTCCAGAATCAAATATGAGGTTTGCTGTCCATTCTTCTCATCCTCTTTTTTGGTGCCGGACCTTGTGAGAGAAAGGAGGGGTTAGACACTTTCTTTTTCTCTGGGGACAAGCATACAAAAGTTTTTAGTCGTGTGCAGCAAAGAGGAAATCGAGGCCTACACAAGCAAATAGCCCTGTCAGTAAAAGTGAAAACCAGTCAGAGAGCATGTCTCTGGGTGTAAAGCGCTTGGAGGAGCAAAACCTATATATTTTGATAATTACGTCCAGGTGCGTGCAAGAGAGGACGTTATGAGCAGAAGAAGTTTGGAAGCGGAGCAGCCACAGCAACAAGGAGGCGCCTACAGTGCAGCTGCCATTTGGCACAACAAGAAATACAGGAAACGAAGGGACTCGTGCAATCACCCGAGCGATAGCCAGTGATGTTATGTAGAAAAATCAGCAATAAGGAAGCGCCCGAAGAGCAAGAGTACTATTAGGCAACACAGCAGATTAGTGGACATTAAGTTAAACAGAGTGTATGTACCTTATCAAT